CAAAAGTTACACCAAAAAATACGATTTGCAGTCGTTTTGTCGTTGGTCGATACTATTCTTAATGATACATAACTATTTCACTTTCAAATTTAACAAGAATTATTTCATCTTCATCCAACTTTCAATATATGATCTGCTTATTCGAATGATTCAGATCGAGAGCTAGCAGTTGTGAAAAAAAAACAACTTGTATTTCTTCATAAAAAATTTAGTCTTGATTCTATTTATGGACAATGCTCATTCATTTATATTGGTAAAAATGGACGAACAGTTGCAATAGTAAGCAAAAAATTCTTTCAATTATCTTGTACATATATGTTATTGAAATTATTGGTGATGAAGATCAAGCATTTATTTTAGTCTTTGTTATTGTTCTTAGTCAAATTTTATATGATAAAAAGAATCAAACAGCATTGATGGTTGAAAAATTTAAACTGAATTAGCCCAAAAAAAAAATTGTACTACCTTTTGTAAATAAATAAATATAGCGACTTCTGGTGAGATAAGTTTTTGATAAATTGCTTCTCTTGATTTTCTTTCGAACTAAATAAAAAGAAACAGTAAACAATACAGAACTTCTTTTCACATATCTATTTTGTAAAAGGACTTAATACGATGTGGATATGACCTAGCAAAGAAAATATTAGACTTATTTGATCAATTAGAATAAACTGATGTTATAGACAAGATGGAATAAAGTTTTGTTTTAAGCACAGTGCACACAGGTGAAAACGCACGAAAAATCGAGTTTCAATGGTTTGATTGCAGCAATGCGATCAAAATGCATTGGGTAACATGCTTTACAACATATGCTTTTTCAAACACTGAGTGTCTAGTTGAAAGTGTCCGAATTTTTGCGATGTCGAATACCTTGATATGGTTAATACAGTTAAATGTTTCTTTCTGAACTCATGTAAATGTGATTGTAGTGTGAAAGATAGTTCACTATTAAAATGGGAAAACTCGAACACTGTTGATGGTATACAAGACATTATAAGAAAGAAAATTTCACTTTGTTACAATGCATTATTTGCGTGAATTTGAATGTTTGAGTAGACCAGAGTCTTTTTAATGGAAATCACTTTGTGAAAAAAAACAAGATAACTATTTGAACTAAGCTTGTTTGCAGAATTAAATGAAAAATGATAAATAACCTATTCAGTACAATTCAATAGATTAGTAAATACGCATATACTGTTCACAAAGCGCTTTGTCAGTGAGTTCACTGGTTATTTTTAATTCGTGTTTTTTCATGTTGAAATACGTATCGATCAGTGGCTTTGGCAATTCCCGGATAAGATCACTGTCGTTCGACAGCATTTCTAGAGCATCAGAGAGATTCGACGGTAAGGTAATAATATTGCGCATTTCTCTCTCATTATTGCTTAATTCATGGGGATCGATGTCAGTTATTGCTTTCAAGTTCATATTTTGTTGAATGCCAAGTCGTCCGGCAATGAGTATGGCAGCCATACTCAGATGTGGACTAGCCGTAGCATCTAACGGACGAAACTCTATGTTGTATTGATTAGCAATCGATCGATTTCCAAGACTTACAGTAGGACAGATACGCAAGGAGGCTTCACGATTGCGATAACCCAGACAGACATAAGCTGAACTCCAGTGATGCGGTTTCAGTCGCATGTAAGAAACTGGTGTAGGTGCAGTAAGTGCGCAGAGTGCCGGTAAATGATTTAGCACGCCAGCTGCCCAATGCTCGCCCAGTTCCGACAAATCATAACGACGTCCTTTTTCATAGAGTAATGGCTGTCCGTCAAGATTTTGAATACTCAGATGCAAATGAACACCATTGCCTATGGCATCGACATATGGCTGCGGTGAAAAACTAGCATGCATATTCATTTGTCGAGCAATATCTCGAGTGATCTCACGCACATTAACAGCACGATCTGCAGCGGCAACACCTTCAGTAGATCGACAAGTGATTTCGTACTGACTTCGTCCATATTCGGGGAGAAACATTTCTGGTTCGACGCCTGCAGATTGAAGAGCAGCGACTAACCATCCAGCAAAATCAGCCACGTGCCGGTGTGCTCGCAAAGAGAATGCTGGTAAATCGCTCATACATTGTCGTCCATTCAATATGAATTCATGTTCGAAGGCAGCTGTAACTCGCATACCGAGCATATTATGATAACGTTGAATTTCTTGGCGAAGAAGCTCACGTGGACAAACAGACCAAGCTTTACCATCAGTTTCGATAATGTCACAATGAATAATATCGAACATCGGTGCTGTTGGATTTGGTCCATTACTGATTCGAACTCGGCTCTTGCGGTCAGGTAATAAACGTAGATCACCATGTGAACCCCATGGGTTTGAATCAGCAATAACATCCTGTGGTGTCAGAGCACTGTCAGCTGGTACCCAACCACATCCACTGTTCCAATAATCATCGATAGCTTCTGATGGGAATGTCCGACCACGTGTAATACCAGTCAGATCCGTTGTGACTAGCATTGTCAGTACGGTTGGTTGAAGAGATGAACGAACGGGTACTGATAAATTCTTCTGTTGATCATTAATAGCTAATTTTATCGAGGAATCGTTGTCCTTAGAATTATTATTACCTATAAAATAGTAGATAAACAGAATTCTAGATAATATAATGTATATCTATGTTTGTCTAGAGGATATTTCTTTCTCCCATAAAAAGTTTATTAGTGCTGAATAGTGTATCAATCTATGAAAGACTATACTGATATATTCTAGAAGAATCCGTGATATGTCTCGCAAAGTTTCATAAAACTATCATCACAATACGATACCTTGAATCTCTTGAATAAATTCATCTGTGGTCATAATACGACAGTAACCACTAAAAGCACGCAATGCATTTTCGTGACGCTCTTGTGTATGAGTTGTGCAGGCATCTGAAATACAAATTACTTGATAACCTTTATCGGCAGCGTCGCGTACAGCCATATCAACACATTGATCTGTTAAGAAACCCATAACCACAAGAAATTCCATACCAAGATTTCTCAATACATAGTCGATATTTGTAGAATTGAATACACCAGAACTTGTCTTCTTCAGCCAGATATCATCTTCAGCAGGAGCCACAGCATTGATAACATCAGCTTCAGGTGATCCTTTCGGAATAAAAATATTTGATAACTTATGATCTAAACTTCGATCTCGACCATTCCGAGTGAGACTTTCAATTGTACTATACATAATTTCCATACCCAATGGACGTGCTATTTTGATAATACGAACCATATTTGGTATGCAAATTTCAGTTATTTGCTGATAGTACCATGGTTTGTTTTGTTGATGTTCAATGTTGATCTCACTATTTTGTACATCAACTAACAACACAGCAGCTTTGCTGGGAATTATAGTCGTCAGTCGTGCAGGATGCACAATCATTCTAAAATTCAGAGTAAAATCTAATTTAATACTAGCCAGAAATCTATTTCAAATGACAAGTCATAAAACGACTTGTTTTCTTCATCACATAAGTTACACTGATGAAACAGAATGATTTTAAAACTGAAATTTATTAGTCTTCCCTCGAATCTGTCGACATAGAAATAAGATACCACTGTAGATTGTGTCAATATCAATCCTTCATAGATAACAGCACAAAGAAATTTACACTAGTCAAATACTTGCTGTCAAATAAAATATAGTTACCTGTTTCTTGTGTCGTCGGTTAACGTGCATATTTTCGTTTATTTTTTTCACATGGTATATACCATAGTAAAAAAAAGAATAGAGAAAGCATTTTTTCTTTTTTTTTTATTACGCTCTAACTGTGATCAGAAAGATCCTTACAGTACAAAGAGAAAAATGTTAAATAGAGAGATAATAAGAAAAGAGAATGATGAATGAAAAAGAAATAGGTCACACAGAAACGAAAAAAATATGAACAACAAAGAAAGAACACCAGGAAAAAAACAAAAAAAAAAATGCAAACGGTAGAAAACAAACGAACATAGCAGTGGACACAAGAGAACTTTTTTTTTTTTTAATTGAAATTGACTTTTATTTTTTTTTTAGAAAGCATTTTTTCTCTTTCTATTCGTATCGTACATACAAGCATGTGACTCATCATCGAATCAATGCTTACCACAATACGCTCTACAGATATGTTCTATATCAAACATGGATAGGAAGAGCGCTTTTCTCTCCAACGATGAATGTATCAAATGACGAATGTTACAAGTGACACCAACACTCGTCCTCAAAGCTCAGTTGTTTATAGAAAATCCTCGTGCAACAATAATATCTTGTCACTTGCAATAGTGAAATATTGCAAAAAAAGAAATCGGATAAAAAAGATCATAGACGTTAGCTATAAGAGATTTCATAACAATACATCATACTTGTTAGCTCTCTGAACATAAAGATTAATATGTAAAGGATGATCAGAGTACAGATATTGATATCCTATATAGAGTGTGTTGCATGTAAAGTAGTTAAATCTAGTAATATGAAGTAGTTGAATAAACATCATTAACAACGGTGGTCTTCCACTTTCAAACTTCGTTGAACTATATTCGAATATTCAGTGATTCTTCGTTTCATTTTATGCTTTCCATTTAAGTTTCATGGATATGCTCTAACGTGCCTGGGTCACAGTGTGATTTTTGCAAGTGTACGTATTTCTCGATGATATGAACTGTTTTCAGTTAATTATATGAATTTCTTTCACAAAAATGCTTTATACATTGATAAAATAAAAGAAAATTTGTACGTCGATCTTGTTTCATAACTCTATGCGCTATAAACTCAATTTGAGGATGGGTTTCATAAGATAAGTTCAATCTACTTTCGAAGATCGCTTCGACTGATCTTTTCATCATGTAAATTATATTTTGTTTTCTGAAGAAGTTAATAAACTTACGATTTGTATTTGAAACCGCTTGTGAATTATTTTTGCATTACAAAATGATGAAAATGGTTGTTTTTGATTGTCATTATGTGAAATCAACAAGATAGAATGAATTATCTACAATATGAAAAGAAAAAGAGAGATAAATACATACAATGTATATTTGGTGAATTATGAACTATATAGAAATAAACGAAGAATATTTGAATATGAAGTATTTGGCTTCTTCTAGAAAAAGCAATAATGTTATATCATACAAGCTTGATCAATGGATGTATCAATTGTCGTTTGCTTAATTCATTCCATTTTTGTTAAAATTTTTTTTTTCGGTGGCTTTATATATATATGTAGATAAAATTCCAAGTGTATGACTCATCGCTGTATAGTGTCTCACTATGACAACGGGCACTACTGATTCTGCATAAATATACCGTTTTTTCCATCATTGGAGAGATGCTGGTTTCAGACGGCGTATTGGTGCACTTTGAACGATAAAATGTGAATATATGACTTTTGAATCTCAGAGTTTTAATTTTACAGCAGTTAGAACTTGTTCATCATCTTGTATCATTGTCATCAATAGTTTATCACACTGTGCAGCCTAAAGAAATCATTTTTGATGTCAATAATGATAAATTTGTTAATCTAATTGTTTAAAAACAGATATCGCATTATTCAATTGAAAGAATCGAAGAAAATGTATAGAAATCAATTTAGGTGAATAATGATTTAATAATATTGAGAGATCATTACAGATACGTTCCATGTCAAAATCATGTACACTAGAACAAATACAAGTAGCACGCAATAGAGCTTCATAGGAAATATTATGATGAATATGATATGGATAATCAGATTCCAATGGAAATTAGATGTGTCCTTCCGTTACTAGAGTTATATCAGTTTTATTTTAATACAATGATGACATATTAGAGGACTAACTTTACCATCAGTGTCAATTGTGATATTGATTAAGATAACTCATATCCCCAGTTGTATCAACTTCCATAGAACTCAGGCTTATATATGATAGAGAAAGAGAGAGAGATAATACAGAGAAAGATAAGCAGAGAAAAGTACAATAAATTTATAGACAGAGAGTGTGTAACTAAGAGAATTAAGAGGAAAGAATAGAGAACTTGTTAAGAAGTATAATCAGCTGTTGTCATCTATCATTTTTGCGCTTTCTTCTATATATGATTATTGACCTTTCTTGTAATACGTATTTTTCTTTTCTTCTTCTTTCCGTTCTATTCAACGATAGTTTTTCTCTTGTTTTCTGTTAGATGCTTTTTCTAAATGCGCTGCAATATTATCATATCCTTTTTGTTGTTTATCAACATATATAGTTGGGCATTTATTACAATAAATAGCTTTAAGTGTATCAGATATAACTAGCTTTAGCTCCTACTTAATAGAAGGAAAAGTTTTCCAAGTGGAATAACTTTACAAACTGCATCATGCGAGAGTTATATGATTATCGATACATCTTCCTACTCAGTCTACATGTGCTTCTGAGCATCTGCACATTAATAAGCAACATCAAGAAACAGAGCAAAAAAAACTATTAGAGCATCAGAATAACTTACCTATGGTCAACTACTATTGATAATCCACCTCTCAGGTCAAACAGACACGGTCATAAATTACCATATGCGGAGAAATACGGCGATTTATATAGTCCACTATTATGATCGTATTTCGACGTATGCGGTGGCGGCGATATCCGATCGTAATACTGAACCATGTAAATCGTCAAAATAGGGTCGTTTACAGACGTATACGAACTCTGTATTTGTGGGCCTGGGCTGTTGTCATGAGTGGTTAATGTATCAGTGTGGGATGTTAAGAAGTAGCAAATCTATATATTGTATCTTGTACTTTTTGCACGCTCTTTTCTATATTGTAATTTTCCTCTGCTCTTGTTATATCACATATATTCTTCCCTTCCTTTCATATGTATTTTCTTTCTTTTCTGTCGAATATGTTTTCCCACTGTATCATGTATAGTTTTCCTGTTCTCTCTTAGGTATTTTCCTAAACATGCTCGGATATTACCATTTCTAAGCTATTATTCACCAACCTATAAATAGTTGCGGATTTATTACAGTAAACAAGATGAAAAACAATTTATGTGTATCGGATGCAACTATCTTTGGCTAATACTCAATAGAATGAAAACTTTTCCAATTGAAATAACCTCACAAGGGTTGGTAGCAGTGTTTAGATATTCAATAAGAGAAATGTCGGAAGTTCTGAGAATTTCAAGCATTGGTGTTCCAAAGTGTTCAGTACCTCCCAAAATGATGTAATTTCCGAAAGTTTCGAAAGTTCCAATAAGTCTAAAAAATTTTGATTTGCACTGCTATGCGAGATTATCGAGCCTACAGAAATTTCGGAAATTTTGTTAATTTCCTTTCTCGAAAATCTGAGCATACTTCCCTCTCGATAGTTTCTCTTGGAGAAACGAGAGAACAAGTTCTTTCATACATCTGATAGTTTTCTCGATCGTCGTGAATTATTTAATAAGTAATACACTATTTTTCAACCTTGTTCTCTAGACATAATCATTTGATGGTTATGTCAGTTCGGTAATTTCTAACATTTGAATCTGATTGATGTAGATGAATACTGAGCAAAATAGAAATGCGATATGAAAATAAGTATTCTTATTGCACGAAAGTAGGCCATTTTTGCATGCAAAACAAATCGAATAAAAGCTAAGTAAAGACAAACAATATCGAAAATTTAGAGTGTTCCTTTAGTTGCAAATGCAACATTGTCGATATTCTAGACGGCTCATTCGGATTTAGGACGAGGGAGATATGCGTTGTAATGAATGCCAGACAACAATTTTTAGAGCTGCAGTCAATCCACCGTATATTATTAAACTTAAACAAAGACACGACTTGAATTTTTCAAAAATCTTCACTTTTTGAAGGTTGTTTTTGAAAAACAGTTTAATCTGTATGTCATTGTGGTTGGTGTTGATGACACGTTTTCAGCTCGTGTAATGAAGCAGTTCGTTTTAATGAATAAAGTTCGAAATAAAATGTTACCAAAAATCGCAGTAATATATGGACTGAAGTAATTTTCGAAAAACAAACCTTTAAAAACTAGAGATTTTTGGAAAATTCAAGTCGTGCCTTTGTTCAATTTTGATTGTTGTAAAAGAAAAAATATTCTGTTAAGTGAAACATACCATTTTATGCAGAATTCATAATATTGCGAACGCCATTCTTTATATTCTACCAGTTAATTATCACGTACTCAGACTCCATCCTGACCTGACGAACATGTCCTCATTTCCATCACGCTGCGTAAGGGTGTGAGTGCAGATGAGGGCTCTCTGTTCGCCCACACAGCCACATCCACATCCATTACCACAGTCATCTGATGAGACTGTTAGCCGAATCGGAACACATTGTCTTCACTATCTCGTACTCACTTCACCTTCACCCTCACCTTCTCATCCTCATCCCTCAAATATATGAATAAACGAAGCAATAACAAATCTGAAGCATCATGAAATCGAATATATGTATTTTGAACGTGGAAGGCATTTGGTGTTTCTTCTCGTGCACTGCAATACAATTGAGAATGAGTAACCTGGTCTGCAAGATCGAGTGCATCTTTCAGAAATAACAAGGTTAACATTTTATGTTGGGTAACTGAGGTAATTTTTAGTTTTTCTCGGTTTTGTTCTTCGAGCGTCGTATCGATAGTCATCTTAGAGTCAACTGTAAGAAATAGTCCAAAATCACCTACGAAAGAAAACATAAAGAAATTGTTTTTTTCTTATTGAAATATGAGGAACTTGGACACAGCATCGCATACAGACAGCAATCGTGTGGAAAGAACTCGATGTTACACATCTTCTTGCTGCTCTCAATAGAACCTTGACGCCTTTGTTTCAAACATAACAACGTCAAAACTTTAAATTCGCATGGCTAAAATAATAACGTATTATAGATGTTGACAATTGTTTTGTTTATTTTCTTCAAATTAAACTTTCACAAAAGTTGCATATATCTTTCTCAAGAAATTATTGTACTCTTTTCGGACATCGTTCGCGTCTGATGCATGGACTGCCAATGCTGTTGTCTCGTCGAACGTATTTGGGATCGCTGCAGAAACAGCCGGCAACACACTGCTCGGTGCACATCTCAGGCTTGTCGTCACAAGTTTCAACACACGCTGAGCCGCAAGTGTTAAATTCTTCGTATGCGCCACAGAGACGGGTATCATCTTTTCTTTTGCAGGTTTCGCGTTTAATACAAGGACTTCCAGCTGTTCTAGATTGACGAACGTATCCCTTCTCACAGAAGCAGCCACTCCTGCATACCATGATACAGACTTCGGGTCTATAGTCACAGGCTTCGACACAGGCCGAACCGCAACTTTCATACTTTTCATTCATGCCACACACCGGCGCTGTTCAGTAAAACAAAAAAAAATACTCAATTCATAAAATTCGATATTTAAATTTTTCTTTACTTTGCCCTTCAACGGTGATCACCAACAGTAACAGGATGCAAGCATGCAGAATGGAAGCCATGATTTACTTTTGATGAATCTAGTAGTGAATGAAAGAGTGTTTTATTCTTCGTACAACGATGGGCTTATCGTATTTATATTTGCTTTTATAAGACCGAGATAACAAGGATCAGGATTGGAAGCCTCGATTTATAGACTATTCCGTAAAACGAAAGAAAAACACAATGCGCTGAGAATATGCATATGGTGTATACAGATAAAGGCCATAACATCAAGTAAAAATCGTAACTTCAACTCGGAATGATACTTTATATTCGTTATAACTCCATTTTTCATGCTAAATGGTAGAGCAATACTAGTCCTTAGCACTTACAAAAGAGCGCAAAAGGCAGTCTCTTTTGAGATTTTATACGCGACTTTCGATATTTTTTTTTGAACTTCACCAACATCCATGAGAGGATGTGGATTTTGGTAGGTGGGTAAAGAGAAGACTCACATCCACACCCACATCCACACTCGGCTACACCTTAAGTTGTCCTCCTTTTCCTTTTATATGTTTTTGTTTATTCTTTTTTTCTTGTTTTCTTGCTTCTCCTTAAAAAAATGTAATGCAGAGCCCTGATCAGTGTTTTAATATTTTAATAAACACCATGAAATGCGTCGATGAAATTAACTCTGCATTTCTTTCATAATTTTTTATCAAAGCACATTTATATATTATTCTATTGTTATTTCATTTTCGACTTACGAGAAAATCTCTCAAGGTGTCCCCGCAGGTTTCAATGAAACTTTGTCTATAGATACTACACAGTGTCCTACTCTCAAAAAAAAAAAGGAGTTTTGCAGAACCCTCCAAAAAGGTTCTGTAGATTTCCAAAAGACTCCAAATGTACCCAAAGTCTCAAAAAAGGAATAAAAAATTCGACAGAACCTTTTGAAGGTTCTGTGGAGTATCCACT